TCTGCTGCCTCTCTTTATTATTTTTGAAATTATTCCTATAATCTCTTTTTCTTTTCTTAATATATTTAAAATTATTCCTATTATAATTGCCTCTGTTCTTCAGTTAATTATGGATTATTAATATTATTGTCATTTTATTAATCATCATTAAAGGGATCTGGCATCAATTCAGGTAATTAATTATTAAACTCCTCAACATCCATTTAATTGATTTATTAAATTTAATTTTAATTATCAAATTATGGAATTATAATCTAATTTTGATTTTCAATTAAAATTTCCTAATCAAAATTCATTTACTCAATTTTCTTTCTTAATTATATATCTTATAAATTATTATCTATTTCTGTTGGATTAATCTTAAGTTATTATTAGTATTATTAATTTAAACTTAAGAATTATTGTTCTTCAACACTTAATTAGGATAAGGATTATTATTATTAATCTATAGTTTATTAAGCCTGTTTCAATTTTTCATCATAAACTCTAAAATCATTAATAAATTTTTCAATTGCAATTTATTAACTTTTTTCAATTTTGACATTTTAAGTATCTTTTTTGTTAAGTAAATATTTATATCTTTCTCTAAAATCATTAATTTCATTGAAACTCATTTTGAATTATTTGGATACTAAATTAGAATAATCTAAGACTGATGTATCAATTTCTAACTTAATAAAACCTGTTAAAATTTACTTATTCTATTCATTTACTTTTAATAATTAATCAGGATCTATAATAATTGCTAAATTCTCATCAAATTAAGGATTATAAATAATTAATGTAGTCAAGTCTTGCATATCCAAAGACTTACTTGTTTAATTAAAAAATGGATTTATTTGAAGTGTATCATATTGATGAGTGTATGGTTTGAAATCAAGAGTTGATTCACCATATTTTGTTATCTCTTTAAGTTCCATATTTCTATTAAGATGAATAGTTTTTTATGTTATTTATTGATTTAATTATTGTTTGCTTTTCTTTGAAGGAGGAGCATTAGGGATAGTAGTAGTGTCATAAACTCTTAACAAATTAACCTTTAATTTAAGACTTTCCACATAAGTTCTGTCCACTCTATTGGAATAAAGCCAAGCCAAAGCATCTAAATAAAGGGCACTTTTATTCATATCATCAATATCTATCAATCTTATTGAATTGCCAAGCTCAAAGTCAAAGACCTTTTCTGACAATCCTTTTTACATACATTTAAGTATTTCATTAAGAATTTCATTCTATTCATCATCTGAATCATCACTATTTTCTGGTTTATTAGGATAATCGATCTATATTTCTATTTCTTCTTCTTAATGAGTTTTTAGATCAGATAGGTATTATTATAATTTGGACATTGAATAGATCATCAAAATTCAGAACATTAAAGCTCAAAAAATCATTAAAATATTTATAGAAGTTTATCATTTCAAATAAAATGAATAAATAATACATACCAGCGAAAGCACAAGAAAAAATATTTAGTTTAATTCTTAAGAGACCAGAAAATTTAAATTGTGCTGATTGTGCAACAAAAGGACCTCGTTGGGTTAGTTTAGATTATGGTATATTCATTTGTATGGATTGTGCAGGTTAAACTTTATTTTCATTTTTTAGGAGCTCATCGAACATTAGGTCCTAGTGTTACAAGAGTAAGATCAACTAATATAGATGGATGGTATTAAGAAAATATTGATATTATGGAATCTATTGGTAATGGAACTGCAAATTCTTATTGGGAAAATAAAATGCCTAAAGATTATATGTAAATGATTAAAAATATCAATTTAATAGCAAACCTACTATTAATTAAGGTCTTGATTCATTAATTAGATTTGTATAAGAAAAGTATGTGAAAAAGAGATTCATACCTTAAATATCATGTCCTGATCCTAAATAATAATATATTCTGACTAAAACGTAATATATACCTTATATATTTAATTAGAGCAGTCAAACCTTATTATTTTAATTAGCAAGAAATAAAAGTAGAGGAACCTAAAGTAAAATTGGGTGATTTGATTGATTTTGAAGATGACTTTTTTGGAGTCAAAAAACCTATTTTATAAGTTGAGGAAAACTAAGGATAAAATACTCATTAAGGTACTACACGTTCATTGTCACCTGAAAAAGATTTCACAGAATATATATAAGCAACTCCTAATATTAATCAACCTATCCATTCATTACCTTCTTTAGACATACTTACACTCTACAAATCAGAATCTTAATAGACATAATAGTCTTAATAAATAATACCAAATAAGAACTCAAATTATGCTTATTTATCTAATATGGGATAATAATAAAATAGTGGTTTTTATAATTAGTAATTAAATTATTAACAACATATTTATTAATAATAATAATAATAATAATAATAATAATAATAATAATAATAATAATAATAATATTAATAATAATAATATTAATAAAATATTCAATCAAATGGACCCATCAATATTATGGATTTATATTAAAAATGATATTTATTTAGATGATAATAATTTAGAAAATTATTAATAGATATATAGTCATTGAAGTCATTTCTTTCTGCACATTGCACAATAAAAGTTCATATCTTATGCTAATTATGCTTAAACACCAGCACATTCATAATGTAACCATTTAGAACATCTATCACATTAAATATAAGATTTATCAGGATTTGATATTTAATTACAAATACAAATTCTTGTCCATTTAGAAATAGGAGGAGTAAATTTATCCTTTTCTACATTATAATCAGCTCTTGTAAAATATGTTCTTTCATTTTAAATTGTCATTTCTTCATATTCCTTAATTGATATCAACTTTATTTCATGATCAATTTAAGTGCAAAACAACCACTCCTCTATTTCTGATTAAAATAATTCAAATTCACTTATCCCTTCTTATAATTCTTTTAATTTTTAGGGTAATTCCAATTTATTAATATATTTTTACACTTTGATCATGGGTATTAAATATTCATCCACTTATAAATTACAAAATCCTATTAATTTTCCATATATTTTCTTATCTCTATTTCCATCAATTGATAATTAAACTATTTAACCAATTGAATAAATTATTCCATCATATTTCATTTTTTAGTACAATTTCACTAAACCCATTTATGTTGCTGCATCAACTAATTCTTTATACTATAAATTGTTTTATACACATACCTTTTTTGATTATAATAACTATTTTATCACTTAGTCGTTGACTTAATTAGCCTCCATTTTTATTAATTAAATATAAAATTAAGGGTGGGAAATATTAATATTTTTAATAATTATTACTTTTATCATAATCATTTTATTAGTTTTAAGTTGTTTTCAATTTTGATTACGCTACCAATTAATTCCATCCCCTTTTGGTCTTCCACTTTATCCATATATTGGAAATGGCCATAACCAAGGATTTGTACCCATCACTTAAAACCAATTTTCTTTAACAATAAAAGATTAATTAAATTTATACCTAATATCATACTAGAATCTTTAACCATCTTATTGACCTCTTTAATTTAATTAGCTAATTATAGTTTGATTAGTTATTGCTAATTTTATGCGAACAATTAAACTTTTTAAGGTCAATACAGCAATTACAAATAAATATAATAATCTATGTTATGTAAATATATTACAATAAGATAGTAGGTAGAATAGATTAATTCTGAATTTCTTATTTATCATCTCTATAAAATAGATTCATTATTTTAGGGTATATTTGTAAACTTACGACTATTAGGCTAAGTGTTGCAGATAAATTTATGTAGAACCAAAACAGTAAATAAAATTTGGAATTATAATATCCTACACAATTTTTAATCCAAAATGAATGATGATCCATATTTAATACACATCTATTACATCTTATATTATAAAATAGTTATTTACTCAAAACAATGATAACATCGATCAGGTTTATAATTATGGCATAATAAACAATATCTATTTCTTCCTTATTAACCGAAAAACATTTACCAATGCTTGGGAACCTGAATTTTATATAAATATACTCTTCCAGGATCACTAACAAAACATTTAAACAATGACCAAACAACCATTATGTAAATTATTTGTAATGGAATCCATAATATTTTTATCATTTAAATGTATGCACTAGAATAAGGGTTGAGTAATGTCAAGTAAATTGTTGAAAAATATTAAAAAACTAGCATGTATAAATTGATCAACCAGCCTTTTTTTGAAACATCCTTCAGAATCGATTAAAGGTTAACTTCATATTAATTTTCCATTTATTATATAGTAAATTATTTTTATTATAGAATAAATAATATCAGTAATTGCAGAAATCTATTATTAAATTTAATGTTAACTCTGTTTTCCAATATATTAGAAATATTACTATAATAAAATAGATAAAAAATCATAATTATTTTTCAGACATTTTACTGAGATTAATTTACTTTACTTCTTTAATTTTAGAACCAAAATAAAAAACTTGGAGATATTCCTAACTTATATAACTTTAATATATTCAAATTTTTAAATATATCTTTAAAAAACCTTTAAATTATTATATCCTTTATTTAATATTTGATAATTGAAAATATTTAAATATATTTTTTCTTAAAATATTAAAAAAATAAATAATATTAAATCTATGTATAAATTAGTCATATTTTTTAAAGATAGCAAAGTTCTGGTTATAATAAATAGCTAATTAAACAATTGATTCTTTTATTCTTAATCATCCAATAAAAATCTCCAACATATGAGAATCTAAATTTATTATAAAAATCTTCTCCAAGGATCATTAAAAATATATCTAAACATTGACCATACCGCCATTATCATATAAAATATTTTTAATGGAATTTATTTATTTATACATACTTTTTAGTATTAATTGACAATTTTTTAGTTATGCATTCATAGATTGGATATAATAAAGATAATCTAAAAGTAAATGGTTATTATTTAATAATTTCTATATTTGAATCTGTCTTTACATTTAATTATATAAATATTTTATATATAAAATATTTTTTAAAAAGTAAATACACAAATTTAAAAAATCTAGTTTTATGAGTTTTGAACCATATTAAGAAAATAAAAAGACAGTGAAAGTGGCTCCAATTAGGATTGTTTAAAATTAGCATGAATAGAGTGGCTCTTAGAATCAAACAACTAAATATCCATAACTTAATTTATAATTCTAATTTTAAAAATGTTATACTCCAGCTGTTACAATACCTTTAAGTTTTTTATAATAGCTCATTTAATAAGCTTAGTTAAACAAAATTCTGAATCAGATTGGGGAAACTAAAATTGTTTAGCAAGAATAGTCAGAAGCTGTCAATAATCTCATTAATTAAATATAATATCAAAAACAAGGAATCTCAAAATCATAAGATAGTAATGAAGACTCCTTAATTAAATTATATTTAATTAAGAGTCAAATGAAATTTATTGTTGAAGATACATCATCTATAGAAAAAGTAAAATTATATTTTGCAGATAATCAAAATCTATTACCTCATTTCTGGGCTTGGATTAATTCAATCGAAATTAAAGCATTAGAAGAAATGCTTATGTTATGTTATACAAATCCATCAAATACTAAAAGAATTTAAGATATTTTCAAAACTCTTTTTTAAACTTTGTCAATTGAATTTTTTTAGAAACATGCATATGCATAAATATTGAGATCGAATCTACAAGATAAAATTAAATATCTATCAGTAATAGGTGATATTTTAAGTAAAATAGTGAATCCATAGGATTATTTCTATTTTAATAAATCATGATTTATGTAAAATATTAATGCGTATATGTATTACAATAAATCAATTTTTTATGATTTTCTTTATTAATTCATAAGCCATATTATTATCCATAATTAATCTTTCTCTATCTTTTGTGACTATATGATATTCTACTTAAGCTTTCTTGAATTATTAATAAGCAAAAACACAAAACAACCAATTAAAAGCCAAAAATAAGATTTATAAAGTTATAAAAGTTCCTACCTCTTCTTCAAAAACCTAAATTTTCAATAATTTCATACTGATTATATTGTATTAAAGTATGAGATAATCACAATAGTAGAAATTGTTCTGAATGCTAAACTAATTCCTAAACTAATAGGGAATAGATGTAAGATCTAAAATATATTCAAATACTAATTACTTTTTAAGATTTTTGATAAATTCCATAATAACCAATTATCGAAGAAACAATTGTACATAATTAAGCTATATTTTATGGAATCAATATAGTTTCTAATTTTCTGGCTTATTCTCTATTTTATAAATTTTAATCTGTCAAATATGTTCTTATTCTAAAGATTTATGAATTGCTTTCAAGTGTAATAGCAGAAAATAAACTAAATACAGCTAATCCCAATAAACAAGAATTTAAAGTAAAGAATATTACTTTTCTTCTATCAAAGGAGAACCTATTTTTGATTATCTATTTTAATTCTGACAATTCTAATTGCTTTGATAAAACTGGTGATTCCATAAATTATATTTTAATTATATATATTATAAAAATATCATTTTGCTTATTAGTTTTCTTCTTCTTTTTCATTTATTTGAAGTAAAGCATTGCTATGCCAAAATTCTTTATTATCTCTTCTCTAAATACTATAAATGCGTATTATATATAATAATTTCTCCCTTATTAATTTAAGTTAATAATTATATCTCTTAATTGAGTTTAATTAATTCTTTTTTTCATCCTCACTAAAATTTATTTATGGAGATGCAGATTTAAAATTAGAACTACCTGGTTGAATTGAAAGTATTTTAACAAAGACCTTTTATTGAGACTTGACTTTGAAATTATAATATAAATGGATAATCTTTTCTTTATGAGATTAGCGCCTCTTAATAAAATACTTCCAGCTATCACTCTACAGAGATTATTTAGAACTATTATGATGATCAGTTATCACATTAAGATTTAAAGATATCTGTTCAATCAAGATAAATTCCTTTCTATTGGTTTTGAAGAAGAATTTGGTTAATCTTTGCATATAAGTTCTCTGGTTAAGAAGCTCCAATCCTAATTTAAGAAAAAACAATCTTGTAGAATGGAATCCACTAAGGGTTTATCTTGACTCTTCTCCTTTTCAATATTTACTTTGATTAAAGATTTATTTAAGAAAGTGAGATTAAAAAAGATCCCATCCAAACTTAGAAGAAGAAAATCTGACTTTTAATTAGATTAGTTGGATGAAAATCTTTGAATATGCTCACTCTATATTTGGTTCATAGACCAGTTGGATTCTTGAAGAATCCATCTAATTAGCTGAAAAATATGATTGTAATTAATATTCTAAGTCAGACAATTTGATTTCAAAGGAACAAAAAAATCAGTTTGATTTAATTATTTAACAGTTTTATTATCAGCTATATGTAGAATATAAAATCATAAAAAGTTTATTAAATAAAGGTTACTTTTTTGTGTAATTAAATTATAAATGCATCCCTCTTCTCTTTATAAGACATCTAACTCAACTATGGAGTTGTACTATTAAAACACATTTTGATAATGTGGGTTCTTTTATAAGATAAATTCCTTTATCTCATGTTATTAAATGTTAATAACTATAACGGTTCTCTATTATAAAAGCACTTAAATTATGTATTCTTAATAATGAGATTAACAAATTTGGAGTTAATTTGATTTATAAATAAGTGCTATCCTTGAGTCTACTAGAAATTAGGGGGGAAATGTGATCTTCAAATAAAAAAGGAATTAATTTAAATGAAATATATTTTTGATAATAATATTGAACCACTTTAAATTTTTTTGTCTTCTTCCACAAGTCTACTTGCTTATAGTTATTTACCATCTATCCAAATTCTATTATGTTCATATCCACTACCTCCTACACCTAAACCAGGTTATTTTGGTCCTTATCTAAGTGGTGAATGGAAAGTTTACTTTTATCTTTTTGTAATAATTGGAACTAGTAATGCAAACTTACTTTATTATTAACTATTAGGTGAGTATATTTTGAATTTTGGATGGATAGAGAATATAAATTTTCCTTTAGTTCCTGAAATATCAGTATAAACTCAGGAATACAATGTAAGAGTTTCGACATAATTTTATCCACCATAATTTCTTATAAAAATATAGAGTTTTATGCTAACACAGGATTCTCTGTAAAATATTACTTAAAATCCCAAAACTAAATTATTCTTCTATATTCCATTTATAAAAATTAAAAATATAATGGTTTTTGTTTTGTCATATTACTAAATTTTTTTATTGCATAGTCTTAACTGCTTTAAGAAAATCCTACCTTCTCTCTTAATTCTTTTTCTCGAGATCCACAACCACTCATTACAATTTTTAGATATAATATTTATATACTATTATATTGTCAATAAGTTGAGTAATATATTTTAATTTTTAATTTAAGAAAATTAATCTAGTGGATGCATAACCTATAGTATTCGGTTCAAGAGAATACGACCAAAGGTAAGCTTAAGAAGAAACTTTTAGAAGAATTAATTGATAAAATTAAGACATTCAGAAATGAAATTGAAGGACTATGATATATATTTGTGTGTTAAATTGAATAATAATAATTTAAGAAAAAATGTTTCAACATAATAGTCGAATATTCATCACAACTTTTTTAATATTTTGATATAGTTTGAATATTTTACAATTAACATCCAAAAATTTCCATATTTTTAAAGTAATTATTAAATTAAATTTCTAATCTAAATTTAAAATCAATACATATTAAAGAAGTTCTTAACCTCATCCTCTAATCATTTTATAGAGTAAACTATTTCAATTTTCACCTGAATATTTGAAACCTTTTAAGGATATCTCCTCATCAATCAGAATTGCTACTATCTTTCACTTGTTATGTAGAACAAATTTAAAAATAAGTAATTAAATACCAGTTTTAATAATAACTAGTTTTGTCAGAGTTTAAGTTAAATTTGAATATTAAGTAATGATAATAATTAAAATGTAATTAAACTTTATAAATTGTTATTTAATTATCACGATTTTAATTGCAATTTAAATCGTTCAATAATAATGCGTTGATTCTTGGTAATAACCAAAGTCAAATTCTTAGTGATAACCCAAAGTAAAATTTATAGTGATATTATATAATCTAAGCCTGTTACTTTGTTTTTAAACTCATAATATAACTTATTTGATTATGCTTATCTATGATATTATTATTAATATTAAGACCTGAAATAAAAATTATAAAAATAAATCGTTCATGTCAATAAAAATACAATATATTTTCTATTTAAATGTATACAATAAATTTTAATAACTTGTTTAATGGTTTCTGCCTATTCTATAGGAACTGCTAAAAGAGATAGCCCTAATAAAAATTTTGTTCCTGCTCCTAATGCTTACTCTTTAAATAACCAAACAACCACTCCTTAATGGACGTATAATCGTTATATATTTTTAGAATAGGAGGTAAAGTAAGGAGGGAGATAAAAATAAAATCATGCTCTCCTGGACCAGGATAATATCCTTATAAATCTTAAATAAATGGTGCTCCATGTTGTACTTTTAAGGGTAAACTGAAACAGAAAGTTATTTCTTAATCTCCTGGACCAGGCAATTATAAAGAAGATTAATACTTAACCATTTAAAAACGAATTCCATCATATAGTATGGGTGTTAAAATTGATAAAATAATCAAAAATTTTGTTCCAGGCCCTGGAACTTATGACTTAAATTAAACTTATCTAACTATGAATTCTAGTAAATTTCCTTTAGAAAAAAGATTAAAAACAATGGATGATGGAGCTAGTTCACCTGGACCAGGATGTATAGTGTAATTATTATCCTAGAATACAATATGACAAACTATGATAAATTTTCACCACATAAATCATAGCCCTCATGGAGATTTGGATCAAAGAATAATTTAAAAATGCATTCATCATTAGATATGAGTTCCCCTGGTCCTGGAATGTATGAATTAAAAAGTACGTTGACACAACAGAGTTTTACATTAAAGCCAAAATTAAAGACTTAAGAATGCGATAAATATATACCAGGACCAGGAAAATATTCTCCTGATATTTCATTTATAAAATACGCTTAACCTGTCTTTAAAATGGGTAAAGAATCAAGGATTCCTTAATAAAAGATTTCCCAAAATCCTGGACCTGGAAGGTATTACTCTGAGTAAGTTGAATAATTATTCTTAACATAGAAATTATGATGCCAGAAATAAAAAAATGCAACCTAGCTATAGTTTAAGTAAAGCAAATAGAACTTCAATGTCTGATAATGATTCATAATTTGTGCCAGGACCAGGAGCTTATAATTATCCACCATAAAAATTAGGTAATATCACAATCAAAGGAGCAAGAACTCAAATACGACCTTAACGAATACCAGGACCAGGTTTATACATAAATTTACATTAGGAACTTATAATCCTTAAGATAAGTTATGTTATTCTTATGATGGATCTGTAAAGATAGTTAAAGTAGCGAAGTAAATTAAGGCTTTATCTTCTGATAAATAGCCAGGACCTGGAGCGTATGAATTAAAAAATACTTTAATGGGACCTAGTTGGGGATTTGGTAAATCTAACAAAAGAAAACCCATTTATAATATTAATAATAGTCCAGGTCCTGGTACTTATAATGTTCCATCTAAATTTGCTGATGTTCCAAAATACTTAAATTGTAAACCTAAATTTTAAATTTGATTGTTATTATATTTACCAATACGTAACATCTATTCATAGACATAATATCTTTCAGAAAATATTTATTATTATGGTTAAAATTTTATCAATAAAAACTATGTAATAATAAGTACAAATCTATAAAAGTTTTGAAAAAGTGTATTAAAGTGCTACAACAAAAAGAATCTGTGGTTTCACTTAAATTACAAATTGTAATATCTATAAAATTGAATGGATTTGAAAATAATAAGTTAAGCTATTTGATGTTTATAATTTAAATATTACTTACTTATTTATTTATAAATATCATATAATAGAGAAAAGGAATGCTTGGCTATTATTGAGTTCAACAAGTGTAGAAGATGATAATTCAAATAAAGTACATTATAAAAATATGATTGATTAATTGAGATATTATAAAATGGTAAGGTGAATAATCATATTATTAAACTATTAGAATAGATCTGATATTATAATATAAATTAATATTGTTAATTCACACAATTATTTATTTGATTAAATTAATTAGACTAATTATTAGAATTGGCATTATAGTTAAATATTAAATAGATTTTGATGGTTATTAGTCATTGTTTATCTCATTTAAAATAATTGTTAATTGTGTTAAACAATAAATGAAACATACTAAAATAAAGCATGGCCATATTATAGAAATAGAACAATCTGAAATGAGTGTGACAATATTGTAAAATATGGCAAACAACAATAATGAAACAACCCAAAACCAATTAAAATGTTATTGTAACTAAATTAATGCTATGATTTCAGTATAAATGATGGATATATAATAAATTAAAATGACAGCTACCCATTTTTTAGATCCATAATTATCATCACATAATCCTGGTATTATAAAAATTAGGAATGATAATAATAAAATTTTCCAAACAAACAAAGGTAAAACAATTAGAATGGGATTCTGATTTATGATACCATCAAGTTATAAACAAAGTAGTATTATAAAAATAGGTAATAATCCTAGAGTAGAATTTTAAGCAATTGCTAAAAATACTTTGGCAATTCTTGGATATTACTATTAATCTAGTAAAATATTTATTAAATACATAGCCATTTGATACTTAAGATCCATATGACTGAATCGCATACAAAAAATATAAGTCCAATTATAATCCATTTGATCTAATATTCAATTCGAATTGCTATTAATTGCAAAATTATATAAATCGACAATGCTATGAATATGCGTATACACTTAAACAAAATCTCCTCCGATTTTCTTCCGATGTCCGATTCGGATCCTTAGAAGTCATCTCGATCTTACATTATTCGTTTTTGTGAATAATATATTATTATATATTATATATTCATATTCCAAACATTCTTTCTTTTTTCCTTTTCAATTTTCTTTGATTTCAATCAAATAATTAAAAAGAAGATCTTATCCAAAACTTCCGTATTAGTAAAATATAATTTATCTGAATATACTATATAATTCTAGTTCATTTTTTATAAAATCCATATCTAATATTTTCAATAAAATTCTATTTGTAAGTCTTAAATAATTAATTTAAAATAACAAATATTTACAGTAAATAAGTAAAAACATATATCATTTGAATTTACTAAGATTGATATCTCTTTTACATACAGGACAATGTTTTTCTCTTGAAAGCCATTCAGAAATACATTCTTAATGAAATACATGACAACATTCCAATTCAATTTCAACAGGATTACCACTATCTTCTAAACAAATTGTACAACTAAATTCTATAATAATTCATACCAATCATTGATTTATTGTTTAATTTTACATTATTTTAAAAGTGATTGAATTTAATTTTGGAGCAAACCTCTACTTACAAATCCCATTTTTTCTTATAATTCTTATAATTATTCATAACTCATTTAATCAAGATCTACATTATTTTACATTCTAATATAGAATAAATGAAAAATATTTACTGTGTTAAACGATTTTAAAATTCCATTTCTTCTTGTTATTATAACATAAATGCTAAATGAATTGATTTTTCTTCTTCAGTCATTTCTTCTTATATTTCATTTTACTATTTCTCAACAGAAACTTATTCTTAATTTTCTTCTTCGATTTATTGATTTTATTGATTTTATAATTGTTATTCTAGTTCTTGAATTCTTTATTTTAAATCATTGACTATATTTTTTAAATCATAATTCTCTTGGCGCAATTCATTTATTATGTCAGATTTAGATGATGACTTTTAATTAAGTTTCTATATTTATTGGATTGGATTCTTAAAGAACTTGTCTACTATTTCTTTATGCTCTGAAGAAGAATTCAATTAACTTAATTTGATTGGATTGTCCATCTATTTTTAACAATAAATTTATTAATAATTTATATTTCACTAACAAAATAGTTTATTAATATTATTTTTTTTATAATAAATGAATAAATCTAAATCATTTTGGAATAAAGATCTTAACTTCACCATAATTTAAATATAATGTAAATTTCCCATTAGTAATTTTAATGCAATCAGTAGTTGGATAAAAGATATTGCAAAGAGTTGTGCCTAAATTTATATATATTAAATAATTACCTTCAGCATATGGATGATATGTGATAGTCTTAATAACCTATTTATCATATTTACTTGAGAATGCAGCAAATAAAGTACCTCTAGTGAAAGCATAGATTTCAGAATCAGAATATCTTTATATTTATTCTTGATTTCCTGCATTAGTAGCTTTACGTGCATGATTTATAGCTTATATATATTTATACATTTCAGATTATCTAATAATAAATTTAAATTTTTACTGATCTAAATTACCCCATAAAACCTCTCTGTTTTTTGGATCATTACCACCAGCATAGAGTTATTCACTACCATAGTAAATCATTGGAATTCCTACAGAAGTCAAACAAAATGCAGTGATAGCCTTAAATTAGAGTTTCTTCAAAGCAGAAAAGGTCAAATGAGGTTTATCACTTAAAAATACTTCATCTGGAATATATCCTTAAACTTAATCATTTAAAAATCTTGCATTATCATGATTGTCATTAAAATTACCAGCATATTAAATATTTTACTTACCCCATGAATTCATTAAACTATTATAATAATTTTCAAATGTATTCATATCTCTCCAATGTAGAAATACATCTCTTGCTGTATAGAAAAGAGGATAATTTAATAAAGCATCAACAGGACCAACAAATTATTTTAAGAAATTCATATCTCCATCAAATACTTCTCCAACTGTATAGACACCAGCAGCTTTAGAGAATTTATACCAAAAATCAGTTTTAACCATCATAAGAGTATCTATTCTAATACCATCAAATTTAAATTCTTAGACAAGCCATTTGATCCATTAGATTAATTATTCTGTAACAAATTAATTATCTTAATTAAGATCAGCTAGACCAGCAAGTCTACATCTTTCAATATTATAAAGATTATGTGAGTTAAAATCTTTATCTGTGATATCACACCAGTCATGATAATGAGAAGATTGATTGAATGGGTTATTTTAATTGTATACTGTATTTGTATTTCCCATCTAAAATAAGATCAAATAATTACATGATTAGCTACAACATCAACCATAACCCATATATCTCTAGAATGACAGGCATTGACAAGAGCCTTTAAATCGTCAGCAGAACCAAAATTATGATTGACGTCATACATATTCCTGGCCCAATATCCATGATATCCACCATCATAATTATCTACAACAGGTGTAATCCAAATAGCATCAAATCCCAAATCTGAAAAATATAATTGTATTTTTACTTTGAATATAATCAAGTTATTGAATCATTCCTTTATAATCACCACCACAATAGTTGCCTAAATTACATGAAGTTGATTTGCCTTAACTTGTAGCAAATCTGTCAGTAAGTAATTAATAAACTGATCTACTCTTCCATTCTTCTTTTGTTTTACAATGTATTAGTGCAACAATAACAAACAAAGATAATAACAATCTCATGTATTTAAATTAATGATGTCACTTTAGTAATAATTCATCTGCCATATTTATATATATTATATTGCATATTATAAATCTACATTACATAATATGATAATTTATTAAAAAAATACATCATTTTCCTAAGAATTTCAGATTTTGAGACTTAATTTCAATAAAGTCTTTAAAAAATTAATTAAATTTCATTTGCTCTATCATCTATTCATGTAAACCAGTGAAATATAGTTCTCTTCCACTCTCTAAAATCAACACAAGCAATTACTTAATAAATTATCCATAATCACACCTAAACGATCCAAAGCTTATTCATCTAAAACACTAACATATCTAAAACTAAACACAATTGTATCAATTTCAGGTAATCTTTTAATCTATTCAACATGATTCTTCCTATATTAAAATCATTATACTTTTGCATTTATATAATTTAATGATCCATTAAATCTATATATAATATATTCAGTATTAATATCATCTAACAGATCATTTTCAACATCTACTTAAACTCTTTATTCATCTTCCCCATCTTATTATCGAGTCATTGAATGTCTTAATTTAACACTTTGAACTCCTTATTTAAGAACTATTTCACTAGCAGCTGCACTCATAGTTTCTGCAAATTTTAATAATGCATAAAGACTTCCAATCAATGAAGCAGGAATAGGACCATAATAAACAGATAATGTAGCAAGAGCAACAACCTTTAAAATTGTTCTATACCTTCTTGTTGCTAGAACTCTATCATAAAAACTCCATGTTGGACATTAATAACCTGAATATAATACTTATCCACCAATTATAAATAATGGTATTTCCATAAAGTATTTACCAAATAATCCATAAAAAATTAAAATAGAAAATGAATTTAAAATTGATGACCATCTATTTACTTCTTTTACTTTTATATTTAATACATATAATCTTTATTATGCATTACATGGAATTCCTCCAAGTAATCCTGATAAAATATTACACACTGAAACACATTCAATTTCTTAATCATAATCACATTTTACATTTATTAATATTTCAGCTCCTTTTGCACAAATTAAATTCTATGTCATTATATATAATGCCATTGGTATAGCTTCTTAAAATAATTTATACAAAATTTTGAAATCAATCTAAAATATTTCACCATATGTCTCAATCCAATTAAAAGTCAAAGAAACATCTCCATAAACACTTCTCAAACATTTTTCATTTGGATAAAATTACCCAATAAATATACCAATAAAAGTACTCACTATTACCCAAGGAAATGGTTTATGAACCTTATTACCAATATATAAAAATAGAAAAACTCCAATTGTTGCACATAAATGTTATAAATTTCCCCTTTAGAAATAACTCTTATACATTTCAAAACGATCTTCATATACTTAAACACCTCTATTTGATTATAAATCACTAAGACCAAACCCATAATCTATATAATTATTTATGATTAAGAATCCTAAACCCCAAAAATATCCTTCTATAACATAACTTGGCATGAATTCTATTAAATGATGCCATTTAAATAAACCACAAATATATATTATTATCCCAATCATTAAAGTAACCCAAGGTACAGCTTCAACTCCATATTATTCAATTATGTTGTAATTGAATAATGCTGCCATTTAATTAGGAACATAAATTGAATGATTACTTCCACTAAACAATCCATTTACAAAACTTCCAATAAATGCAGATGTTAAACCAATACTCGCATTTAATCCTGAATTATTTCCTGCATTCAATGCAAATGGCATAATTAAAAATGTTGTTGCCATTCCACTTCTCCAACTCTCTCGAATATAAAATAAACCAGTTTTCAAGTCATGGACTGATAATTTACTAATTCTAGAGAATCTGGAAAATCTTGATTTTCTTTGATTCTTCTTCTCAGACTTTTTTGACAAGAGTGCTGATGCTATTGACATTTTTGGTTTATCTAGATTAATCAGTTCTATTTATGGTTATTGCATTAAAATCAAGTAAAATTTTAACTATAAAAATATTCACCTAAGTTTTTTATTTAATAATTCTAATCATATATAAAGATATGGATAAATTATCATTACATTTGTAAATTTTTCTTAGCCTTTCGAACATCTCCATAAAATATATCTTTTGGAAACCTTTTTAAAGCTCTCAATTTATTATACTATAAACCAAATGAAAATTGCATTATATCCTCTTCCTTAGTTACATTTATTTAACTATAATTTAATAATGGTTTGTATACTCTAATTTTGTATCACTATAATCTTAAATCTATTAAAATACAGATCTTCTTAATGGAGTTACATCATCTGATCGTGTATAATTACTTCTTCTATTTCTATACTCTATTTTATGTTAAAAGTAATTAAATTAAGGATTTTCATCAATATTATTTGGAGTTGATTATCCATTACGATTATTTCCTTATAATTGAGATGATTTTTACTTAAATAATTATTGGTCTTTCTAAGTATTTAATCTTAAAGATCTGGTTAACTAGATTACTTGGAATTATTGCAATCATAAATTTCTCTATAAACTATATATAATATAGAAAAGAAACCTTCCTTAATTAACTTTAACTGCCTATAATCGATTACCTTTATTTGTGATAGTTTTATTTAAAACATTCAACTTGTTCTTTTGTATCTCAACCTTATCTATCCTATGAATTTCAATTAATACTTAAAAACATTTAGATCTCATTTGGATAAAATCTTTTATTAAAGTCATTTGGTTTATCAATTTCAGTCTTAACTCTTTGATGAGAACTTACAGATTTTTTAGATTTGTTTATTTCATGAACATCTATTGAAGTTTGTAGATATTGGTTATATCTATAAGGATGATCTATAAAATAAAATTGTCAAAAATAAAACTTCGAAAGAGATTCACAACTTTTGGTTAACTTGAATTTTTATGAGTAAAGTTTTAGTACAATTTATTTGGTGATTCTGCACCTCTACATTTATTGGCACTTTATGTTTTTCTACAATCTTTGTTAACAGCTAATTCCATAGGAATTTGATATTTCATAGTATAATAATTTCTAACTTTATTATAATAATAGAATCATAATTACATTTATATATAATATCACTCAATTTAACTTACTTTAAAAGAACTCTATAATTTTTTCTCTCTAAGTTTTTTAAGTAGCATTTTCTAATTTATTTTATGGATATTCTTTGGCTAATATATTTAAATATTACCCTATACCATTACTAAATCTATTATTTATATATTAATAAATACTTATAATCTTCAAATAATTATTATCCATTATATATAGACCCATTTAATATTACTTCTTTATTTTCTCTATTTCCAATCATTTATCTTATCTATAATTGTAATTATTAATTTTATTAAGCACTAATATTTTCTAATATATGTGTTGAAGTATTCTCATTTAAAGGATCTATTTATTATAAAAATGTTTCATTAACACCAGAATTATAAGTACGAACTTCCAATTTGTAATGCTCTAATAATTTAAGAATATTTAAAGTTTAAATTTATATTCCCACTGCTCCAACAATTGAAGTTTTATTACAAAATATTTTATCTCCCATACACAACAAATAAAATGCTCCAGACAAAGCGTAGTCTTCTGCAAATGTATACAATGGAATATTGTATCTTTTTCTTACTAAATCAAATTTCCTTTATATTATATGTGCATGAGCAAGACTTCCTCCTGTTGAATTTATAATCAAAGCCATTGCCTTTGAATTTTCTGGCTTAAATTTTTTTAATGCTTTATAAACTTTATAAGTCCTAAACAATCTTCTTTAAATCTTACATTGAACTTGTTATTTAACCTTACAAAAAAAAATAAGAAACCTTTTTATATTTTTCTGTGTCTTTTCCAATTAATTTTAAGAATTTATTCATTTAAAAATATTATAATAATAATCATTCATTTAATTATGTTACTAGAGCAGTTCCTCTCTTAACCCAATGACTAACACTTAATTAAGTTTTTATAGGAATGGAAATAATCTTAAATAATATATAAAAAAAATACGAAATTAGTAGAATGTCCTGTTGTTGATAAGGTACCTCTTCTATCAAGAGTCTTATAAACAGGACAAATGTAATCTTCTTGATTTTCAATGAAGTTCTATTTTGGCAATAATTAAATCTAAAATTATATTGTAAAATAATACTTTTGGGAAATTTTAATAAATGACTCCATTAACAGGTTCATCTATCACTTATTCTTCTTGATTCCATTTACCACTTTCTAAATATAATCCATCTATTATTATTCCTTCTTCTTCTTTAATATCAATTTTAAAATCAAATTTCAATTAATCTATAGGTATTCTATGTTTTCTAGCATGATTTTATAATACTCCTGTAAAAAAAGATTAAGTGAAATAAAATCCAGGTAACCAAAAGATAGTTGGAGTTCCCTATTATATCCATTTATTGAACATATCTACACGTAATTATAAATCTTAAAGATAATTATTTAAACTCTTTAATGATGGATATGATTTCTATTTCCATAATTCTGGTAGGATATTATTAAGCAAACATTCTCCCATTTTTTCTAATTATTGACTCATGACAATCAAACCTTATGCAGCTTTAATCAAATCCTGCAATGATTTCTATAATATGTTTAATAAATTATTGTATCTCAATATTTCTTACAATAAGACAGTATTCATGCTTTCGTAATATTCAATTTTGAATTTTTCTTAAACTACATTAATGTCAAATTGTTTAGGAATAAGAATTAGTAGACTTTGAGCCTTCTCTAATAATAATTTATTTTTATCTATATTCTCTTCAGCTCCTTATTCTACTAAACCAACATCTAGAAGACAATTTAAAATATGTTTTGTTTCTAATTAAGCTTGAGTTATAGATGCATTGGAATGTAATCCAAATAACTCTGGGGATGAGGTCTCAGGTAATTGATTAATAAATTCAATAGCTTATTCTAAGGTATTTAATTGTTAAGCTTCTGGTATACAATATTCTTGGATAGGGCTGAATTTATAATTTTCATAAAAGATATCCATTCTATAAAATGTTGTTAATAGAACTCTTAAACATCTTCTATCCCAATCATCAGTGACTTTACCACCATAATAACATTCACCAGTTAAATAAATTAATGCTGTAAATGGAATTTCTTAATAATCCATAAGCATTTATTTCAATTAACGAATAGATATTCTAAAATCAGAATCATTAAAATCATAAGTAATATTCCATCCAACAGGTCCATATCTTCTTCTTTCTCTAACAATTGCATGGAAATAACATAACGCTAAATAAAATTACTTAAATTCTTATGTTTTCTCACCACAACTTTCATAGAATTTCTTTTCATTCTTTGAACTATTCTAATTCATATAAATTTATTAAATATTATCTTTGACTCCTTTTGGTGGATCCTTTGTCATTTTTACAGCATCCATCAATAATTGTTATGGAAATGAAGGAGTACTCATTGTAGTCATCCACAATCGAAATTCTGTATTGATTTTCATCAATTTATCTTTCTCTTTTTTATGTAATTCACTATTTATATTTTATAATAAATTATCTAATTATGGTAACCAACTAATTGCTAAATGACAATTTTATAATATAACCCATTAACCCAAAGCCAAAGATTCCATAATTAAATTTGTTGCATTTTCACCTTGTCCTTTACCCAAAGATACAAAAGTCAATACTTTTCCTCTTTCAAAACTAAACTTCTTAACTTCTTCTTAAGGATCATCTCCAGGTTATAATACAAATATCAATGGAATAGTTGTTCCACTATCTTCAAAACTATCTTATAATCCAAATAGTAGATTTTATGTGAAATACTACCCTAAATCTTCAGCTATTAATTCTCTCATATAATAACCAAATAATTATGGTCTAGCTGCTCTTATTAATAATAATCTTTAAAAGGTTGATAAATGTTTAATTTATTCAGGAATTGGATTTTTTTATGGATCATCTAAATATGAAATCATTGATTGACTATTTGTTATTTATAATCCAGGAATTATAGAATGTAAATTCTTTAACATTTCCCATTAATTCTAAGTGAAAATTGTTGGATCTGGATTTTCTATATTAAATTCTTCTCCATTCAAAACAGATCCTGTCAATAGAAATTGTAATTCATTATTATTAATGAGATTATTACTATTATACCAAGTTATCAATAACATGAATGAAAACAAATTCTTGTGTTTCACAAATATAGATCTGCTAATTTCTTAAAATACAACTCTTTTTAATGATTCAGTAATAAATACAATTCTTTATTTAATATTTTTTTAGTGTGGTTTTTCTGCAATCCTTATTGCCTTTTTAAATATTCTTTAATAGAATTCTAATGAGAATACATACATTGGATCTAAATAATTAAGTTTCAAAATAGAGAAATATGAATGTGAAGCAAATGTAGATAAAAGATCATAATTTAATCTATTTTGATTAATACGATCTTCTGTTTATTTTGCTTCTTTTAATCTTAATGTTATTTCTTCTGATAAAATCTTTGATTATTGTAATTATAATATTAATGCTTCATCTTCTAGCATTTATGAACCTTCAGTTTTAGATAACATTTCTAGAATTTGAGATTCTATCTATTTCATTTTTTATTTATAATAATTGTTATCATTCATTATTCTAATCTTTTCATCTTCTAATTAAGCATCTTCTTCTCTTACTAATATTGATGTCATTTAATCTTTTAAGGCTTCCTAAGTAATAGTAAAGTTAATTAAAGTCACTTTAGTCAAAATAGATGGAGTATAATGTGGATTAGATAATGAAGTAACCAAATATAATCTAAATCCAGGATGAACATAAACTTGATTACCACCTATACTTAACATAGGTTTCCCATTTGCAATTTAATATTATTTACTTAAAACTGGATCCAATATTTGATCTAATTATTATTCAATACCTTAAATAAGTAAAATTTAGCCATCCCTAACTGCTGTTTCCAATATATTTCCTAAATATCTATCTTATTTTGCAACTTTAAAGTTAGATTCATTTATTTTTTTCTCTTTTCTTTGTATGAATTTATTTGCTTAACCTTAAGGATCTATAATTAAAGGATAACTATCAGCCTTTTACATTATGATAGCATTTTCTTTACTGAAATCATCTAAAGGTAACCCACATAGTATCCATTCTTGCAATTCAAATTGTGTACTTAGACAATCAAGTAAAGAATATGATTCTGAAATGGGCACATTTTACTCTTTGATAATTTGTTACCATTTATTTAAGATTGTTTTTCTAAATGATATAGTAAATGCTCCCATATATGATAAATATCCAACAGATAATAACATGTCACCTAAAAGTGATTTGATATTATTTGATAACTTAATTGATTCTTCTTTCCATCTATTTTTTTCTCCAGCCAAACCACTAGTTAATTCTAAAGCTCTTTTTAATTTGATTTCACAATCTTAAATTTATGCTTTAAGTTTTTGTTTTTAGAAATTTTCATTTTCAAAAGTTTCTCTTAATTCTTAACATTTTTCTTCAACTTCTTATAATAATTATTATTTAGCAGCAAGTTCATTTTAAGCCAATTTTAAAGATTACTAAGCTTTTTCAAATTCTTCTCTTAAAGGTGTAATTTCTTTATAAACAAAATGGAATTTATAAATAGCCAAAACCCATAGACATAATCCTTCAGCAGCTTAACTTGCCTTAGAAATAAGAGCAGGTTAGAATTACTTATTTTTATCTAAAAATTAAGTCATTTTTGTAATAACTTTTTCTGGAATATTATTTCTATTGTATTTTTCAAGCATTTTAATAAATTTACCAGGATCACTTAACACTTTACCAGCCTCTTCCCAATAATCTTCACCTCCATCAGGTGCTTTTTTTGGTTTCCTCTCTAACATAATACAAACAGAATCCATAGTTAATCTAATAGGTTTAGGTGGATTTTTCAATGCTTTCATTTCAACAAAATCTGATATTTTAAGTGTCTTAAGAGCTTTGATTGCAGCCTCTAATTGTGGTTCTGCTTCACTTAATCTTTCTTAACACTAATTAGATATATTTTATGCTATTTCTGCCTTTTTAGCTGTTTCTATTTCATCTTCTTTGACTTTCATTCTTTAATCTTCTGCAATAGCAGTTTCTTATTCAACTTTTTTCATTATTTAATCTGTTTCGTGAGTTTTCTAAACCAAAATAGGTTATAAGGCTTCAAGTTCTTCTTTCATTTTATCCACAACCAAACCACATTCATCTAACATCTTCACACCATTAATATAAGTATCTCTTTTTTATTGAATAGAGTTTGAATATTAATTATACATAGATTAGAAACTATTCAATAATTATATATAAGATAAGGGTGTTACATAATAATGATATCCAGTTCTTTATAAATATACTTCAGTAATGGATTCAACAGCATGATGTATTCCAACACAAGCTTAAGCAATACTAGATTCAGGTAATAAATGTTCTGCAACTTATTATAATGCTTATTATGACCAACTTTCCATCCATAATATAGATGTACAAGAAACAAGAGATGGGAAATTTCTAAGTCTAGTTTTTAATTTATCACCAACTGGACTTAAGTAAATAATTAAATGTAAATTAGCTTTACATTATTTTACAAATAATTCCCATAATTATAACATACTAATATTTCCTTAAATTCTTGTTTCTCTATCCTTTTATAAATTCTCTTTGAAATCACTTAATAGATTTTCTTTATCATCATAATTATAAAGATTAATGATTTCTCCAATATTCAAAATATTATTGATATCCTCTAATACTACTTCAGTTATTATTTATTGATCTGATAATAGGAAAATACTTTTATCATTTTTAATTGATAAATTCTTGAACATTTCTCTCCAAAATTCATA